TCAGTAGCCATGCAGCCTCAGATCATAATACTGCCTCCTCCAGTGGCTACCACGCAATCTGGATGATATTCTTCCCCAACCCGTCGCCTCACGAACTTCACACCAGGTGTTCCAAATATCTGTAGAAAAGAAAAAAATTTCATAAGATTTGTTTTATGTCTTCAAAATTGCTTTAGTATAAGAAGCTATGACTGTTAATACTTTAAGCCAATCTTGACTAAGCTTACCTCGAAGTTTGATTCATCAGACCATAGAACATTCGACCAATCTTCTTCTGTGAAATGTTGGTATCGACGAGCGCATTTCAAACGATTTTTCCTACTCTTTTCGGAAAGCCATGGCTTCTTTCGCGCTTTACCTTCTTTTAAACCTGCTTCCAGAAGTCTTCTTCTAGCTGTTCGAGCACTAACTGGTGTACTAAATTCATCCGAAAGGTAAGTTGAGAGACTCGCGTATAAGTATTCGGTCTTCTTGTTTACTACTCAGACGCTTTCTTCCACTTTTTGGTTTATTATTGTGGGATTTTGTCTCCACAAATCGCCTAATAGCACATTGGACCGCGCACCGCAAACATTCCACCAAATTGGCAATCTCAACCTGAGACTTACCTTCTTCACTTAGAACTTGAATTCTAACTCTATCATTTTAACTAATTTCACTTTTTTTTAGGCCTCTCGGTAAATATGAACTGTTATTATAAGATTGGTAACTTTTCACTAAATTTTATTTACACTTTCTTATTTTATGAATTTCTTAAAAGTGACAATTTTAAGGTTTAGCTTACCCAGAGTGCTATGTACTTAATATTACACAATTTATACGTTTAATCAACAGTTAAACACCCAAGGAAGACATTTACAAAGAGAAGTGGTAACTTAGATAGCCACGCTTGAGAGCACTTGTATTTTAGTGGGGTGCCTAATACTTTTGGCCAGGGCTGTACGTATGTATGTAGGTAAGCGGAAAATATACAGTTCATGAAATATATCCGCCAGAGCGTTAAAAATGTCGTGTTATATTTCGAGTTTTGTGTTGAGAGTAATGGAGTCTAATGATTTCAATAAAATTTATTCTTTAAAATCAAAAAAAGAGGAAAATCAAATGTTTTTGAATCCACCATAATACAATGCTGTTCTATAAAAAAAAAGAAGTGAATTGAACAATGTGAATTTGTATTCAATTTTAAAAAAAGTATTTGTTTTTTTGCATTTAAGTAAAGTACATATCTATAATTAAATTATATTCGCTAAATTTTCATGAATATGGTTTTCCAATAAGAGGTGTTGTATTAAATATCCTGCTATTCCGGTAGGTGTCACTGTTGAAGCTGCAATTATTTGATATTTAGCAAATAAAAACTACGCTAGTAATACAAATGGAATGATAAACACTTCAAAAACGCACTGAAATTATTGAAAATCACTATAAACATTTCAATAAACTGTCGCATCTGTATTTATTGTTGAAAAATCTCTTCATCCCTAACGTGCCACTATTTGGTGCGGTTTATGGTCCGGCGGAGTCAATAGTTATGGGGAATGGATTACGCTATCGCGAGATGGTTAATGATTTTTATGGCCGGAATTGGATGGTATTGAGCTTTCATACTTCAATTTCAGAGAGAAAAAGAGTAAGAGAATCCAAATTGGATTTTAATACCAACTTTTATTTGAAAAAGAGTGTGTTTGAGTACCAAAAGAATCTTTTTTGAAGGATATTTGATCAAAAACTCTTTTCTGAAAAAATCGGTTGTATGGGAGCTATAAGCCACGGATTGGCATGATTTTCGGTGACAATACTTATTTGTAGATAAGCATGTAGAAAACCAAATTTCATGCTCTTACATGGGTGCTTGACGATTTTTCGAAGCAATTTCATATATTTGAACGAATCAATCGTATATATACATACATAATGATAAGAGTTTTGCCATTATGTTTTATTACGTTTTCGACAAATGACGACCGCGGTTAATTCGAATAAATTCCAGCCGAGAGATCCAATTTTCGACCGCCAATTACGCGCCGAATATTCTCTTTCAAGGCATCAATCGTCTCGGGCTTATCTCCTTAGACAACCGACTTGACACAACCCCACAAAAATTGTCCCGTGCTAGAATGTTAGAAGTCCACGACGCGAAATAATGCGCTCACCAAAACTTTCCTCCTTTAAATTTATTGCTCCGTTGGCCTTGTGACATGTAACATCGTCTAGTTGTAAGCAAAGTTCGTCCACATCAACATTTTGACTTGCAAAATTTTTGAAGAAATATGAACCAAGAATAATTACCTCTGCCCATAGATAAGACAAAACAGTGACTTTTTGACGATTTTATTTGGTCTCAACAATGGATTGTGGATTATCATCGCTACAAAAGCGACAATTTTTTTTTCTCAACGCACCCATTCGGTTTCAATTTTCGTCAGTAAACCAAGATACTTCCGTCAAATCTTCCCATAAAGTTGTGGTGCTGAATAGCATAAGTATCTTTTTCGTGCGCACTCTACGCAGTCACTGCGGATGTGCATTATCCATTTTGCTTATTTCCATGTCAGATGGACGCCTTCTGTACGATAGTTGCCGACTCTATGAGGATTTATTTAATTTTTTTTTACATAGACTTACAATAAATTCCTCTTCTCACTGTCAATGTCAGCTTGTGTTTCATAAAAAAAAATATAATACTATTTATAACCAACTACTACTTAATGCAAGTCATTCTTGCAAAAGCATATCTATTTTTATTTTTCTCCACCTTGCATTCGCTGTTGGCTTCATGTGCTTCCCTTTTTTCGAAAATTATTTCAGTCATTTGCTATTTCAAAGTCAATATCTATTTATTTATTTCTTGCCTTCAACTTTCTCATACAAAACTTTGCTTTCTTTTAAATTTTATAATCTATTTGATCACTATGAGATAGCTTATAAATTCCTAGAATTCGCCGTCTACAATTACAATCAATAATTGTGCAAACGATGGTGTGGATTTCTTTTTTTTTATGTTTTTTATTGGCACTGAGTTGTAAAGTGACGCCACTAAATCATGAAGAGCATTTAGCTATGCGACAAGGACGGTTTTTTTTATTCAATAAAATTTCTAATTTATTTAATTTAGGGCGAGTAATTTTCATAAGAATTTCGCTGCTTTAAATTATTTCAGTTTACAAATGGAAATTAGTCTATTTGGGGTGTGTATTATTGTGTTCTATCTGTGCCCGTTGCCTTCCTTAACATTCTTTGATTCACCTCCTTCCTTCAATTCCATTTAATCCAATCATGACCACCGCCTCTGTTCTTACTTATACCGAAACAACAAGGTATACATACGTTTTTGTGGCCAGAAATTAGTTTTTAATTTGTTTTCACAACTACATACAAGCGTTCATATATACATAAGAATAATGCACAAATTGTACATGCAAATTTTGATTTTTTTTTGTTTGTCTTATTTCGTCCTTTGTCTGCTTGCTTTTCCCTCATACACCAACAACTATGCGCTGTTTGCTGTGCGTTGTTTCTTTGTTTGATTTTTTTGTTTGTTTTTTTGTGAATTTTTATTCCTCATTTTACAGTTCAAGTTCGGGTTGAATAAACCTCATGCACGTATTTTAGTGGTTCACACATACACATAAAACGGCGCGGGAGCGACCATAAGTGCAAGTGTGTTGTTAAATTTGCAAATTAAATTTTCACATACATTCTCTCTCTCTCTCTTGCTCGCTCTCTCTCGAAAGTCCTCCTTTGCGCCGTTTTTCTATAGTGAGTGTATGGTTGTTTGGGAATTTTGTTTTTTTGTTAGTTGCGTTCCAAGTCTCCTCTTTCGTGCTGCCATATTTATTTAATATGATATATTGCAGCTGCTATGAATCCATGCCTCAGTAAATGATATTCGTTTGATATATTTTTGTTAAATGAATTGTTATCAGTACGATCCACTATTGTCTTGAGCAGAGGTACATACCAAATAACATAAATAAAAATATTATCCTTCCCTAGAAATGTTATTTCAAACCTCTTTCGTACTACCTTTATAAAAAGTTTAATCCTTTACTTGGCGAATTTTCTAAAGGTCATCCTAAATGTATGCAACAAATTTCTATAATTCTCAACTGGTTGATGAACAAGAAAAACAATTAAGATGAACAAAAAAATCAAAAATAAAAAGGGAAAATAAAAAAAATATAAAATATAACCACAAAAAAATAATAAAAATTAATAACAACATAAATAATAAAAAAAATAATAGAAAAATAAAAATATCTAAAAAGGAAACTGAAAATAAAAAATTATGGAATGAAAAAAAATGAAAAAAATAAATAAATAGAAAAAAATTAATATCAATAAAAAGAAAAGAAAAAAATTTAAAAAACATTTCAAAAAAAAAAAACAAATTAAAAATATAATTATTTAAAAGGTTTAATAAATATTTTAAAATATGGAATTATTATTAAAAGCAAACTATAATAAAAAAATAATAACAATTAAATAAAAAAGTAAGAAAAAAGAGAACACAAATTATTTCAATGAGTATACTGTGCACTGGAGACTTTTTCTCTGGTTCTCCTGTTTTTCAAGCAGCTTATTTAACAGAACAACGAAGTGGAATTCTCTTTCAAAAGACATTGCACTCTCGCACTAAGCTCAAGTAAAAATGTTCTCATTTCTACACAATCAACTACCACTCGACCAATTTACGGGTGTGACCGTCTGATGCTGGCATTGTTGTTGCAATTTAACCGGTTAATGTCTGCCAAAATTACTAAAAGCCAACTCACACACACACACTAACGTACATATATACATACATATTTAGACATACTGTCACAAATGGCAGCACCCAACACCCAACAAGAAGCGAACGCTCACGAGCACACGTTCAGTTGTACTCACTAATACGTGTGAATATTTGGTTTGGGCTTCGTATGAAAACGCCACCAACGCGTTATGCAGCCAACATTGCTTGTGTCGGTTTTATACATATTACATATACATATATTCATACTCACTCACTTACTCTCGTCTCTCTTTCTCAAGCAAAGCAGGCCCAATAAGTTAACTTGCCAACTAACGAAGGCAAAGCAAACATAAAGGCAAACTGGCCGCATCAGTCGACATCAAATGATGAAACTGTGCTCATCTCGCAGCAACTCCACTCTGTTGAATGTTGTGATCGATCAACGACTTAGAATTGACACCTGTCGATATCTAATGGAAATTCAATCACGTCGCCTAGCCGGAGAATAGAATTCGATTCATTGAAAGAGGCAGAAAGAAATAACTGAAAATAAAAAAGTGAAAAAATCTAATAAAAAAATAAGCGAAAACGCGTAGAACAAAGCGCCACAGCAACAATACTGAAACGTCAAAAGTGAACGCAGTAAATGCTGTCGGAGCATTGTTATATACAGTAAGCAGGCCAAGCAAGCAAGAAAAAACAAATATTTCATACGCACATATGTATGTGTACATACATATAAAAAGCAACTGAAAGAAAAACGAATTCTTTTATTTTTCTTTATTACTTCAAGTGTTTATTTAATAATTAATTAATTAATTTGAATACTGCGCAAAAAATTATTAAAAATTTGCAAAAAATTAAGTGAAGAAAATAATATAATCTACATTCATATATATATGTACCTACTCGTATGTTTGTTTGTCAATTGACGTCAGCGTTCACCTCGCACAAAATTTAATTAAAAATTCAAAAGTTAAACATTCACACGAAAAAAACCAAAGAAAAGCGAAGTGAAACAAAAAAGTTGTGAAAAAATTCTGTAAGCGTTAAATAAGTAAAAAAAATATATATATATAAATGACCGAGTGAAGATTGTGAGATTTCAATTCGAAATTTTATTTTTTTGCTACACGGGCATCCGGTGGAAATTGCACAAAAACAACAACCACAAGTTAATAAAGAGTACGCTACTAGCAGCAAAAGTCGCAATAAAAAACCGAAACGAAATTGTCAACAGCGTAAATAAGTAAAAAAAAAAAAAATATTGTGAAACAAAAGCGAAAGTGTTATTGAAAAACAAAAAAATATTTTCAAAAGAAGGTAAATAAATAAAAGTATTGAGATGTTTAAGAAAATTAATATACATTTATTTATGTGTAAATATCTGTGTAAATAACATAATTTATGTGTACTTCACAAAATAATATAAAAAAATAAACATAATTTTTTTTTTTTAAATAAATGCTAAATACATGTACTGCACAGACACCGACTCACAAATACGCATAATAAAGTGAAAGTGTTCAAACTATTTATACATATTTATATATCCTAATAATATCCTGTTGATAACACAATAGTGGTTTCGTAGCGGAAATTAGTTCTGTGTGAATTTTGTCCAATTGCTTCTTCAAATATTTTTTCTTTGCAAACAAATTAACTATTATTTTATCCTTTTTTTTTGAAATATCTTTTGAAAAAAAAAATTAAGAAAAAAACTCAATCAGTTACATTTTATAATATATTTTCGTTGGTATCCTATGAACTTTTTTTTTTTTTTTGAAATTTGTTGTTTTGTAGCACTGAAGTGAGCGTCTCGAAAACAAGAAGGTGATTTGGTCGCTTGAGCAAATCTGAAATAGCAAAATCAAAAAGATTATTGCTCTAAGAGCAAGTCATTCTGGTTGGAACTGTAATTAAAGAGTTTCATTGGAAAATAAAAAAATAAATGCAAAAAAAAATTGGGTTGTAAAATGAAAAGGTAGCGATAAAAAGATCTTTGACCCTGCGAGACCTATTGATGAGTAAAGTAAAATTTTCAAAATTTAGTGCACTAGCAATTTTTTTTTATTATCCGGACCGAGCTTAAGAACGTTTTAAACAACCTTGCAACCCTTTAACAATGTTTACTTATTCAATTTGTGGTTTTGATCTTTTCCAACAACTTGAGTTACTTACAGTTTATACTAAGCCACCTACTAAGCCGGCCGACGTACTTTTAGCACGAGCTTTTATTTCATGTCAGTAATACACTCGGAGGAGTTGACATATCCTGCCGAGAGACGTTCGAAATTACAAAAATTAAAAAAAATTTTCTTTAATTTAATTATAATTTTTGGTTGGGCCTGGACTCGAAACCTGACCTTCCGATTGGCAGTACGCAATACTAACCATTCGGCTTTCGCGGCCGCCAAATTACTACCCTAAGCAATATTAGTAATTTTAAGAAAAAATATTTGTTTGTTTTATGCTTTCTTTTTGCCATTTTTTATTTATTTAATTCTTTATATTTAATACTTTATCTTTTTCATTATGCTATGCTATATATTTGAACATTTCATTTAATTTATTCAATTTTATGCATACATTTTTTTCGTTATTTGATTTGTTTTATATATTTTGAATTTAATTATTTTACATTTGTTACTATTTAAATAATAAATAAAATTTAAGGTATTAGTTTTAATAAGTATTTTAAGTATTTTTTGTTTATGCATTTTGTTTTTTTTCTCCTTGTTATTTTTTATTTATTTATTTTCTTTCTATCTCTCTTTGCTATTTGCTTATTTTTTATATTTTAATAGTTTATTTATTTATTTGTACATTTAATTTAATTTTATTTTTTTATGAAAGATTTTTTATTTTTTTTTTTTATTATATATTTTTAATATAATTATTTTATATTACTGTTTAATTCTTTTATTTCTTTAATTTTTTATATTTTTTCATTGTTTTTATTTCTAGTTAAGCATTTTTCTATTAATTTTTTATGTTTTTATATATATTGCATTTTTGTCATCCTATTTATTTAATTTTTTCTTTTTTCCTTTTTATTTATTATTTTATTTATTTTAAATATTTAAAAGTTTTTTCTTTATACTTATTCTTAAATTTATTGTTTCTATTTAGTTAATTTTAATTAATTAAATTTTCAAATATGTTACTATTTGAGATATCGATTTGAAATTTTAATAAGTTATTTTTGTAGGCGTAATCTACGGAAATATGAAAAAAGGTCTTTTTTTTTGAAATTTCACACCTACCTTAAACTTTTTACTTATTTATTTTATTACATTAAGTTATTCTTTGTTGATTTTTTTATATTTTATTTTTTTTATATTTATATTTTTTTATTGTTAATTTCTCTTAAATTTTAAAATTAATGCAACTTAGTTTTTGTTTTCTATTTTGACCTAAATTAATTCTTATTATAATAGTATATATTTATTTATTTAATTTTAAATTTATTGCATTTTTATAATTTTTGTTACGATTTTTATATCCATATTATATAAACTGTATACTTAGCAACTAACGGGAATTTTATCAATATTTATTAAGTACGTACTTATCTGTCGCATTATGTTTCTTAGTAACAATTTCATTTCTTGACATAAGTTTTATTTGTTCATGATAAGACCTAGCAATTTTTATTGTCTCTTTTTAATCAAAATTGATAATCTGCTAAAAAAATTGCTTTGATTGTTCTAAAAATACCATACAAAAGAATGCCATGGAGAAAATGAAAAGAAAATAAAAATTGTGTATATATCCAAGTACTTATCGCGGAAACAAAATTTAGTATAAATGCATCGGTGGTTTTTGTATCAACAAGTATTCGCATTGCTACTTGTAAATGTCACTGCAATGCACTATGATAACAGAGATATGATTACGTAAATCAAACAAATAATAGATTTTTTTTGCTCTTTATGCTCTCTCCTTTATTTTTTATATATAAAATTCTGCGAATTCACCCTCCAATTTTTTATATGCACATACGAGTATATTTGAGAATATTTTCCCAAAATCTGAAGTTGATCCGACATACGGACTCGGTGATATGATCGTATCATTAACGAAATCTCGTGGGGAAGCGCAAGGCAGAGTAGTTTAATTTAGTGTAAATGGTTCGCAAAACTTTAAATGCGTTTTTCTCGAGACGCTGTTTCAGAGTCGGTAAACAAAAAAATTGCCATCGCTCTAGTTTGTTTAGTTCGCCTGCTGTGTAGTGTTGAGTAAACGTGTGTGTGTTCGTGCTGCTCGTCACGAAAACGGAAAAACGAAATCAAGAGCAAAGCGCCGCGATAAAATTTTACGCCAAATCGGGCGAGTTATTACAGGTGATGAGAGCTGATTTTTTCAATACGACCCGGAAATCAAATGCTAAAGCTCGGAAAGGTTGGCTCCCTAGGCCCCCCGCCCAAAAAAAGCTCGCATGAGTCGAAAGTGAAAACGACAATTATTGCCTTTTTTGATAACCGTGGAACAGTCCACGAAGAATTTCTTCCACCGGGACAAACCGTAAATCTAGTCTTACTATCGCCAAGCACTCGAAAGATTGCGAAGACGAGTCAAGAGGATGCGCCCAGACATCGCTCGTAACTGTCCCAATATTTGACCTCTAAAGGGAACGCCGTTTGCAACAACTATCTTATTCGCCCGATATGTCACCCTGTGACTTTTTTGTTGCCTAGAACAAAATCGGTGGTCAAAAGAACCCATATTGAGTCAATTGAAGACATCCAGGCGGCCGTGACGAGAGTACTCGCGGACATCCCAGTCAAAGCGTTCAAGAAAACACGGAAAAAGCATGGAAAACGCGCTGGCATCGTTGTATAGCTGCCCAAGGGGACTACTTTGAAGGGGATGGAAGAGTTGTAGAATAATTTTGAAATATACGATTTTTATGGAATCAGTTTCATTACTTAATTGTCCCACCTCGTATCACTCGCTTATTAATTTGTATTCCACTTCTAAATTTAAAACCTCTCCATACTCTGAATTTTGTTGTTTTAAAAATTTTTGGCTGCCGTTCAGTATGCTAATTTGCCTTTGAACTGATTTGGTAAACTGTCTCTAGTGTATTTCATACATATGATTTCATATTCTCTGCAGAATTTTATCTAGATAGCCTGTGCTCTATAGCAATTAACGGTATGAAAAATTCGAAAAAAATATTCAGCACTTCTGCCAGTTTATTTGTCACGAAAACTTTACAGTGAAATTACAAATAGCTGCTAATTTTTTTCACAAACTCTCAAAGTAATATACAAATGTAAAACAAGTTCAAATAAAAAAAATTAAATTCTTAGTACAAATTAATTCGCTTCTTTCTCACTTAATGTCTCCACCTATCTTGGAATCTTGGAATTAATTAACTATTTTCATTGGTGAATAATAAATCGTGTGCATTAGCTTCTGTTTCTGATAAAAAGATTGTTTTTTGCTTTTTCGAAAATGTCTAGATATGTGTTAATTAAATAGTATTTCGTGGAAGTTTTAATTTTCTATATAAATTTGAATAAAAGTGCAGCTGAAGCCCACCTAAAGTTTGTTCAAATTTAGAATTAATTTACGTCGTCCGATAATTCATGCAAAAAAAGTGATTTCGACGCGTCAAAAGTGATGATTTCAGCGTCGAAGGCAAAGAGCTTCCTGGTCAACTCATAATTTGAAGAATTGGGCGTTTTACTGGGTTGATGCGAAAAGTTATTAAAAACAATTAATTTTTATAAACCGTATATTGCATGAAAATCGCCCCGAAACGATCGAAACGTAACAAAGCCCCGGTCCCTAGAGGCTTTAAAGGTCAAGAACAACTTAAAAACGCCGAGTTAAAAGATTTTATCCCACCCGCCGAATTTTCCAGACCTTATTCCTTCCGGCTATTGGCTCTTTCGACGGATGTAAAACGTTTTGGGAGTCACCCGTTCAGGTCTATTGAAGAAATCGAAGATTGGATCGAGGACAGAGAAACCATTTTTTACGGATGGTATTCGATGGCGACCGACCAAACAACGCGTTGTGCGGTTGTTAAGCTATCCCTTTTCCTGACTTTTGTCTAAACCAAAACATATTTGGTTTGACAGTTGATTTTAAGAGATGTTAAAATATAACCCTACTCTTTTGAAACCTCAAAATGGATGACCATATGACAGTAGAAAAATCATCAACTTTTAGACAAAAATTTTTTCTTTATCCTCTTATATTTTTTTTTTTAACAACAAAAAAATTTTTCAGCTGAATTTATTGCGCATACAATTTTGTGTTTTGCCGGTGTGGCTAGACAGACTCGTTGGCTTGTATTTATTATATAAATAATACATATAGTTTTTCTTATTTTTATACATTAAAAGTCAGAAATCAAAGAAAAATTTTATGATTTTTATTTGCTTAACCTCTCAGTTGATTATGACATTTATGCTCAGTTCGTTGCTCACAAGATGATGGTTAGGTTATTGTATTTATTCATCATTTATGATCGATTGCTGTATAATCAGCTACTCGTGTGTAACACACAGACAATTTATAGTAGATAAAACGTATATATGTCTGTCATGCGCAGCGCAGTTTAGTATAGATTTTTATTGTCTATATTAATTCAGTTTGATTTCATTTTATTCGATAAATATTTATCTCATTTAATTTTTCCTTTATTCAATATCACAGTCAAACGTAAATAAGTATTTAAATAGATGCCAACGAACTTTGTTAAAAGCGTACATACATATGAATGTAAATAACATTGAACTTGAAAATCTTTTTGTATTATACTCGTTTGCCTTTTTAAGCTTTTATTGTCTATTTGTCTTGTGTTATTACACGGATCTGCGTCTGTATTAGTTATATTTAATGTGTTTTCGTTTAAGCATCTAAATGCATTTATCTTTTTCTTTTTTGGTATATGCTTGCTTGCTTTTTAACATCTGCAAAAGTATTCAGTTAATTAGATTTGTATTTGGGTTTGGTCGTTTGTTTTCATGAGATTTGACTTGACGTGAATTGGCCAATGTCTCTCTACTTGCGAGTAGCTGGTTTTCGACCTTGACGTGTAATGTCTCAATGCTTAAACATATATTATATTGATTCTAAAGCAAAATTTTAAGTAGAACAATAAAAATATCTGATTAACCTATAGCAAGTTCTGGTATACACATATTAACATAACCTCAGCTTCAAATACATATGCTTATCTAAATCGTTGCCAACATTGGGGCAGTAATTAACTAATCAATGCCCACATTTGGGCAGTAATTAACTAATCAATGCCTACATTTAGGCAGTAATCAACTAATCGTTGCCTACATTCAGGATTAGTTCAGCCAAAATACAAACATACACATTGAATAAGCATTCAGAAGTACTCTTGAAACATATAGTATTATAAAATATAATACAAAATGCGGAAAAATTAATGAAAATAAAAACAAGAAAAAAAATTAAAATAAGTATTAAAAAATAAAAATGAAAATACGCAATAAGCAAAAAGTGTACAAATAAATTGAACGAAATTGAAAAAAATAAACAAAATTAAAATCGAATGCAAAATAGAAATAAATAATAAAAACAATTAAAAAATAAAATAAAATAAAAATAAACCAAAAATTAAAAATAAAGAAAGGAAATTAAAAATAATTAAAAAAATAAAATTAAAAACTAAAGTAAAAAATTTTAAAATGCAATAAAAAAATAAACATAAAAAATATGTAATAAAAAAATAGCAAAATTTATAAATATTAAAAATATATAAAAAAAGTAAAATAAAATTAAAGATAATAAAAGTAAAAAAACAAAATAAAACGCGTACATAAACAAATTGCAAATAAATAGTAATAATTAAAAATAAAAACCTAAAAAAAAAATAAAAAAAAATAATTGAAATGAAAAAATATAAATTAATTAAAATGAAGAAAATTAAACTTAATTAAAAAGAAGAAATTATAAAATATAGATTTAACAAAATCAAATTTAAAAAATATAGAGATTCAAAAATATATAGAAATAAAAAATTAAATAAAAAATAACAAAAACAATTTAAAGGAAAAATTTAAATAAAATAAATTGATAATTAAAAATAAATAAATTATTAGTTAAAAAAAAATTAATAATTAGAAATAAATAAATTATTAATTGAAAAAAATAATAATTAAAATTTTTAATTAGTAATTAAAAAATAATAATTAATAAATATAAAAAAAGTAAAAAATGCAAAAAAAATATTTTCTATAATTTAACTTCAATTAACACACATATACAGCCAGTAGCGTTTATATTTATGTATGTTAATGATTTATTATTAGTTCATTACACTTCGTTTATTTATTTGTTTTACATCACCATTTAAAGCCTCACGTTTTGGTATTAAATGAAAATAATTAGTATAAACCTGTTTATTTGAATGGCGTGTTCTAATTTATAGTCAATTCCGGGTTATTGTACATTTGTAAAAATATTTTTTTTTAAATTTATTTTCTTTATTCGATTAATTACAAAATTGAAAACGCAGTTTATTTTAATTGCACAGCAAGCCAAACAATCATCATAACAAAAGTTCCTGTTCAGTGTTATTTTTTTTTTTTTAGTGAAGAAAAATATTTCAATTTCATTTTCATTTGTGAATTCGCATATTTTTCTGTTCGTACATATGAACCAAGCGAACAGAAAGTTTTCAAATTATTTTCTACTTTCATTCACGCGCAGAAACAACAACAAGGAAACAACCGACAACAGCAACGTACTAAGTAGAGTGATAAGAAAAAAGCTAAAAAGTCGGCGTAAAAAGCTTAGAAGAAAAAGAAAACGAAATATTTAGTGGGAGAGAAGTAAAAAAGACTGAAAGAAAAAATAAAGAAAAAAAACGTAAAATAAAAAATTAAAATTAAATAGAGATTGTGCTTTGCTCACAGCATCAAAACCAAGTGCAGCGGTGAGAAAAGTAAATAAGTTCGTACGTTTTCGTTCCGTTTTTTGTTGACAAAGCACAAGCAACTAAATAAAAAGTACCAAAAAAATAAAAATAAAAAAAAAAAAAACATTTTTATTTCAATCTATTTATGTGCGCACATATTTTTTTGGCAAATAAGCTCGAACAGCGTAATAACCGCCTGACTTGCTAGACAACCACAAGAGAAGTGTATTTTACTTTGTGAACAATATATTTATACACATATTCATATGTTCGTGTTATTGACAGTGAATATTTAAGGAGGAACTAAACGAAAAAGTGTAACGTGGCAAGGGAAAAATATTTGAAAAAAAAAAAATTATTTTTGGAAAAATTTTGTAAACTCTCAACTCAAGAATGCGATAAAATCAACAAAACTTGCTATAGTTAGTGAAAGTGAGCAGTTAAATACAAATAAATATTTTTTTACCGTTTATGGTATGTAAATAATAACTTTTAAAATTATATAAAATAAAATATTTAAATATTACGGAATTGCATTAACTTTGTTATCTTGAAATTAAAAAAAAAAAATTTTTTTTATATTTATGGAAATTATGTATATATATAAAATGACAAAAAAAAAAATGTTGACTATAATTCAGATTTGTGCCTTTTACCTTTCCAATGTTTAATTGTCCAGGAATCTGTTAGAATAAAATCGATTGATTGATTCAGATGACCTAACGTTACTGTGTCTGGACACAGTAAAATACCAGGTTTACTCATACATGGTAGGATACTTTTCTTCCACTTTCGTCATTATGGAATAATTTGTCCTTCACTTTTTGCCTCCTTATGTAGGAGAGTTATTCATCAAGGATACTAGCTCACTGCGCTACATCACTCAACTGACCGTCTCGCCAATTTCTGAAAACTTCGATTAGCTTGAAGTAATTTTTCACACAAAATGAAAGTCCAACGATGTCAAATCGTATGATCTCGTTAACCAAAATGGCATTGCCAATTGCAGGCCAAAAAAAAAAAAGTCTCATACGATTATCACACGCTAAATTGAAAGTGACTATCTCGCCGTTGTCCTTTTCAACGAAGTAAGGTCCAATTACACTTTCCGACCCAAGCACGGAACGTCTCAACGTTTGATTCACCATTTTTGTGGTAGCCTTTAACAGTTTCAACGCCTTGTGCGGTTGTTAAGCGATCCGTTTTCAAAAATACCTGACTTTTAACTAAAAAAAAACATGTTTGGTTTTACAGTTAAATTTGACAGATGTCAAAATGCAACCCTGTACTTTGGAACCACGAAACGGATAATCTTATACATTTATATGCATACATATATACATCTTTTGAGAAAAATGCGATACAAAGCAGAGGCATTGTTTTTTAGCCTTTCCAAAAATTCAAATATTAACATATTTCTATTGATAAATATGTGTGTACATACGTAAACACATAATATGTCTACATTTGGTAATTTGATAATGTGCACGCGCGTTTATTTTCATTATTTACATACATAAATATTCGCACCGGTGAAATATATTCACTATTTATCTGTATTTCAAGTGCATCATAAATATATATATATATACATATGTACTTTATGCATACTTGCACATATACATATTCCATAGCGCGATAGTGCAGCTGGCGAATGCACTTGTTTTGGATTTTTCGTTGCTCTTCCTCTATGCTTCACGTTGCGGTGAGAGCCCAGATTTTGCAGCAGTGTTGGTAGACAAGAGAACATAAAAATTTGCTAAAGTTATTTATACATACATACATATTTACGACAACATATTATCTAGTGGTGGTATTAATTGCACCGGCGCGTGTTTTAATTTATTGATATGAAAAATTAAATTAAATGAAATATTTGTCGACTGCATTGTCTATCTGCTATTAATTTTGAGAAATTTTAATATTTTTTTTTGCACTTAATAACATTTATAATTTATGGACAACATCAATATGTTGAACAGCTGATAATTTCTTTATTTGAATTTTTTATTTCTTTTATTATATATAATACTTATTCACATATTTGCTCTTTTACTCATTTTCTTCCATACATATCTACATACATACATACTTATGTATATCTTTAATTTAATTTTTATTATTAGTTGTATTTATTTAATGACTCACGACTTGTGTGCTTATTGCGAAATAACCCTCAGTAGTGATTGTATGTAAAAGTTTACGGAAATATTGTGGTTATGTGCTCTGCTGCTGATATTAAAAAAGTAATCGAAGGCAGAGCTAAATATAATTTAATAATTGAAAATAATTACCGTCTTGAGATTTTTTAGTCGTTTACTCGTAAAGTGTAAATGAAATTTTCGTAATTTATCGAATTTTATTCTGATTATTTCCAAGAAAGTACAACTAAACTGAAAGCGATTCAGAAAATTTGCATTCGATATGACCGAATCCGGCCGCAGAAGAATTTTTAAATTTATCTTATATTTTACTCATCTCTCTGGAGGTCTTCCTCTCAGTAGACTCAAAGTTCAATCAAAATCTAAATATTTTGTTATCATCCGACAGCTTAACAGATAAAAATGAGTTCACGAAATTTAACCTGTTTTTGAAACCTTTTGTAAATGTAACGTTTTCGAAGCTCAGCTTTGGTCAGCAGCTAATGTACCTTTTCCAAGGTACATTTAAATGGAGTGCACCCAACATTTGCCTAATTGTTTTGCTTTCGTCAAGTTACAGCCATCTAAATCCGATCAAGCTTTGAAAAATGGCTGTTTTTAGAGAGCTAGAACTTTTCACTGTAAATTTTGATTTGCTTTCAGGAAATTTGCTTTGCTATATCCTTTGAAAGACCACAATATTTCCATTAAGGAGTCTGGTTGGGGAAAATTAAAGTTTCTTATAAATATCAGCGAAGTGTTACAGCTGAAGTGCCTATTGTTTACAATGGAATTGACCTTCTAAATTGCTATTATCACCATTAAAACGTGTTGAAAAATAGCATTCATGTAAGGATTGCAGGCAAACAATCGAAACATATTAGAAAAGAAAGAATCTAAATTAAACCGTTTTTGTTAACGCATTTATATGATCACTATATAATTTCTTTTGGTATAAGAATAAGAGTTTATGTTGATAAACAAAAGCGAGAATTTCAGAAAAGCAATAATTTGAGTAATTATGTGAATATATTTATTTCAGAAGGATAATTTGCTTTTACTCCACAAAAGATAGTGCCGTGAATGGTATTTTTTTGTCTTTTTTTTATTATAGTTATAAAAACTATTTAGTATAACAAAAAAAAAATTCGTATATTTCACTTATTTATCAGGTGTACAACTTTGCTTCCGCCGTTTTTTTTCTTCCAAAATTGAAAGCTTTATTGCGAAAAAGTGTTACAGATATATTATTCAAACTATTGTCCTTCGCTAGCGACAACTTTCTCCCATCTTTCCGGCCATTTTCAGATCCCGGCTCGAAAAATTGAGTCCTCTTTTAACGCTTTCCATGAAGCAATTCATTTTCCAATTCTTCGAAGGATTGAAAATGTTGATCTGCCAGGCCGTGTGCCATCGAACGGAATAGGTGGAAGTCATAAGGGGCGACATATGGGGAATACGGCGGGAGGGGCAAGACCTCCCATTTCAGCGCTTCCAGGTACTTTTTGACCACTTTTGCTCGATGTCAATGTGTTTCAACTCGTACGGCACCCAGCTTCCTTCTTTCTGAATCATGCCCAGGGCCTTGAGACGTTTTGAAATGGCTTGCTGACTAACTCCTAACGATTCGGCAAGCTGTTCTTGAGTTTGGCACGAATCTTCATCAAGCAATGCTTCTAGTTGTTCATCTTTGAAGGTTTTTTCTCTTCCACCACCATGTTTGTCTTCGACATCGAAATAACCATTTTTGAAACGTTAAAACCACTCCCGACACGTTCTTTCACTCAGAGCAGCATCACACCGTAAGTTTCTGAGAGCATTCGATGCGCTTCAGCTGCATTTTTTTCGAATTGTAACAGAAAAGTAAAACTTCCTGAAAATGGCAAGAATTAGGCACATAAACGGACATTTTCGAGCGTGAATAATACGAAAACGAGTACAACTGTCACTGAAACGGCGATGACAATTCCTTAGGCACTGTCCACACTCACTTTAAAGGCATTATCATCTATGTATTTCAACCAGCCTCAGCCGGTAAAGCCACCTATCGGAAAACGGCGGAAGCAAAGTTGTACACCTGATACTTATTTTCATAAACCTGTTGCGAATTAAAGCACACAGATATGCGAGCGAAATGAGAGGTGTGATAGAGTTTGAAAAAAAAAAATAAAAAAAATTTAAAAATAAAAAAGTTAAAAAAAAAAATAAAAAATTAAAAGAGAAAAAAAAATTGAAAATAAACAAAAATTAAAAGATGTAAAAATATGTATGCATAAATAAAAATATATAAAAAGTATAAAAAAATTAAAATTACAAAAATTGAAAATATACAAAAAACCCAAAGGAATACAATACAGAAGAAATTAAAGGTTATTGAGTTTAGATTTTTTTTCACATGAATGGAAGAAAACGATTTTACACGCACTTTTTTATCAGCTAATAATTTCATAAATCATTTAAGAATTATAATTCTTATGAGAGAAGCAAGGATAAGCATAAATGAAATGATGACATTGGTATTTCAAATTCTACTTTGATTTCATATAAAGACGAGAAGATTTCTTGTAAGAAAAAATAATTAAAAGTACATCAAACATTTATTAAATATTAATTCATATTCATTAAGTTCATTTCGATTCTAAGACAAGCGTTTATGATGCTCATTTAACTAATTATAATTAAAACAATGAGCTTCAAAACTCCAAACAGGGGTTCAGAAGAGGTTTTCAACAAACAAGTGTTCAACAAATAAATAGAAAAATTCAATTGGCACATTTTCCTCACAATTATTAACTATGCAGAAGTTCGTAGAAATGTGTTCGTAGCATGTGTGAACAGCGGTTAATGTTCAATATTCGTACATATACATACCGCTATAAATACTTTTGTCTCCGAAATCGATAATTAATATTAATGACCTACATACTTTCATGGAAAATATACAAAAAAAAAAATTCAAATGAGTATTTTCGTAGGAAATTGAAAGTGTCCTCAGCTTCGCAAATTATTACTAATTAATTTCTAATATTTTTCTTCAACAGTTTGATTACACTTAATTAACCGGTAATTACACGGTAATTAACCGAAATTTCTTTTGTTGTAGTTTATTTAAAGACTTTATTCAGGGATTTTATACTTTTTTAAGAAATATTTTATATGTACCTTTACATAAATGTTCATTTTGGCATAAAAATTTGTACTCTTATAACGTAAGTCGAATGTATTTTTTCACTCAATAATTATTTCCTTTTCTTCTTCTCTCTTTTCACATTGCAGCTGGTTAGACCTGTTCCTACATCTATGGAGTTTCACTTAGACAGTGCAGAATACTGCCAGGCACAGCACAAATAAAAAGTAAGTATTTACCAATAAAATGAAACGACAATTAAAAAAAAAATGAAAGTCAAAAGTAACAGACGGATTTAAATCGTCATTTTGGCTGGATCGGTATATTGGTGGGTCTATCTCTTCTCCTTCTGATACTTACACGTATATACATACTTCGGACCAAAGTAATTAAAAAAAAATTAGAAAAGAAAAAAATAGCAACAAACAATAAGAAGAAAAATTAAAAATAATAATGAGAATAAATAAAAAAATATAATTAATAAAATATAATAGCAAAATATTGAGAAAAATAAAAAGTAATAAAATAAAACAATGTTTAAAAGACATTAAAAAACTATAAGAAAAAAATATAAAAAGGTGGAAAATATTTATAATAATAAAGAAAATTTAAAAATAAACATACATTACAAGAATATAGAAAATATAAGAAAAATAATAAAATACAATGACATAGATAAATCGAAAAACCATAAAATTAAAAAAATATAAAAGAGGTAAAAAATTAAAAAAATAAAATATAAGTAAAAAAATAAAAAAATTAAAAAATAAAAACATAAAAAAATAAAAACATAAAAAAATAAAAACATTAAAAAATAAAAAAATAAAAAATGTAAACAATAAAAAAAATCAAATGTAAAATAAAAAAAGTAATAATTTAAATTAAAAAAGGTCAAAAATAAAAATGTAAAAAATAAAAAAGTAAAAACAAAAAAAAAACAAAAAAAAAATTGAAAAGCAAAAAATAAAAATATTAAAAAAGTGAAAAAATAAAAAGGAATAAAAATTAACAAAAAAAAAGTAAATAAAAATAAAGAAATACAAAAAAATTAAAATTGAAAAATACACAAATAACTTAAAAATATAGTAACATATAAAAATATAGAAAAATCTATTAAAATATTAAAAGTATATTAAAAATATGTAAATTAAAAAAAAAGCTGAAAAATTAGAAAATAAAAAAAATATAAAAAAATACAAAAAATTAAAAAAAAAATAAAAATGAATTATAAGAATATAAAAATATAGTAAAAATGTAAAATATGTAAAAAATAAAAAATTTTAAAAGTTAAAAAAATATATAACAATATAAAATTATAGAAGATATAAAATATATAAAATATATAAAATATATAAAATATATAAAATATATAAAATACATAAAATATTTAAAGGAAATAGAAAAATTGAATACTAATGAAATTAAAATTGTAAAAGCAAAAAAAATTTGATCACTTCGACAGAATAGACCTGAAGAGTAGCATTCCGACCTACCTACATAAATAGTTTGCTAAAGTTCTGAACGCCTGCCCATTTTTTCTATTTAATATGGCATAATCCCAAATAGATAAGCCACTAATTACGCGCGGATTTTTTCCCTAATGTTTTATCTAAATATCACTAATAATGTTGTAATAAATTAATTATAAGAAATTTTCTTGAAAGTGTGAAAAAGTGGGTCGCATACATAAATGCTGCCTGTCTAGTTAATATCAGATGTGACACACTTAATTAGGCATATAATTTACCACAATATGCAGATACTACAAGTGCATATGTACATATATAATATATTAGTTTCACAGTGGTTGGTCACTTAACCAAGCGGAAGACATAAATTAACCAAAAATATTTAAAACAAGTAAATGCAGACAAAAAATATAAAATAAATAAAATATATATATAAAAGATATTTACTATAAAATTATTTACTTGCCAGACCGTTATCAATCCACTAAAATCGTCTTAAGTAAGGGATTTGGCAACGACTACAGTCTATAATTTGCTCGTGATTTAATTATTAAAGTACATACATACATACATCTTGAAAATAAAAGCGTGAAAACTAAAGAAAAGCTGAATTCAATTATTTTTGTATTTTCACGAAATTTTCGTGAAAATGAAAAGCATTTGTTGTGCAAAAGTAAATATTAAAAATTTTTAGTGTAATTTCTTTATTTGCATTTTTCGAAAATTTTAGTAAAATAGTTTTGCAAATATTTATGCCCCATAATTATTTACGTGGTTTTCTATAAACATTTATCTATTTTCAGTCTATGCGCTATTTATTAAATTAAATTTACATTTCCTCTTAATTGCTTATAATATAACGTCCAATGGTAGAGTGGTTTTCCCTATATACCCGTACATGCATACGTATATTGTATTTTAATAGCTTCTGCTCGTGTAAGTTGCTCAATGAAATTTAAATGTTTAAGTGGTAAAGGTCAACAAAAGTCAACTGATTGCTGTCACTTGTAGAAGCAGCATTTCCATTTGTTTCAGCTGTTTTCATTTATTAATATTTCCCTATTTTTCTTTTAATCCATAGAACGATTTGTCGTTTATTTCTTTTATTGCTTTGTTTTATTGCTTTTCTACCATAATAAATATTTTTGGTAGTCACTTATCTTATGTGTATGTATGTAAAAATTTTTTAATTGGCAAATTTACAAATAATTGAATATTTGCCATTTGTTGTCATTGAGCAGTGAAATGTGTTAGCATACACTAGGCAGTTGAACTGGGTTCCAGATGGGTTGTTTTGGGATCAGTGCCGGTAACCTCACTTTTCAAAAAAATATAAACAAAATATACACATAAAATATAAAAACTTCATAAATTTAAATAAAATAAACATAAAATTAAAAAAAAAAAAAATAAATTAGAACAGTAAAAATAAAAATGAAATTAGAAAAGTAAAAATAAAAAAGAAATTAGAAAAGTAAAAATAAAAAAGAAATTAGAAAAGTAAAAATAAAAAAGAAATTAGAAAAGAAAAAATAAAAAAGAAATTAGAAAAGTAAAAATAAAAAAGAAATTAGAAAAGTAAAAATAAAAAAGAAATAAGAAAAGTAAAACTAAAAAATAAATTAGAAAATAAAAATAAAAATAAAAATAAAAAAAAACAATAAAAAATTATAAAAAAATTATAAAAAAAATTTTTAAAAAATAAAAAAAAATAATAAAAAAAAGGTTAAAATAATAATAAAACAAAAGCAAAAAAAAAGTTTCAATAAAAAAAAACAAAAACAAAATAAAATAAAACTAAAATATAGTAAAACAAAACAAAATAAAAATTAAAAAAAAAAAAAAAATTAAAAAAATAAAACAAAATAAACTAAAAATAAAACAAAAATAAAAATAAAATTAAAAAAAAATTAAAATAAAAAAATAAACAAGGTAAATGAAAAGGAAAAGAATGCAAAAAATTATAGATATTAAAAAGTTAAAAGAAAATGTAAAAATAAAAATCATTTTTTTGCGGCCAATATATTTATTTTTGTTATGAGTTATTAGCAAGCTAATAGTCTGATTTGTTGTTACGAATTGAATATTTTTGTTATGCAACAAAGAAAAATGTTATATGATGTATGAAATGTTAAATGTTGAAAAAAAAAAATTTAAAAATAAAAAGTTCTCAAAATAAAAAATTTTCAAAAGAAAAAAATGTAAAAAAAAAAGATTTAGAAATAAAAAATTAAAAATAAAATAAGAAATAAAAAAATGTAAATATAATAAACAAAAAATAAATAAATAAAAAATAAATGTAGAATTAAAAAAAATTTACAATAAAATTAAAATTAATAATATTAAAAATAAAGGAAAAAATGTGGAATAAAAGATAAAACTTTAAAAATAAAAGTATTATATTAAATTAAAAAAACAACATTTCAAATTGATTGAAAACCTTAAAAAATGAAAAAAATGTTAAATTACAAAAAATTTAAAAGATATAAAATATTAAAGGAAACTAAAAACTAAAAAGAAAAAAACTGAAAAAATAGTTAAAATAACTTAAAACTAAGGTTAAAAAATGGGGAAAAAAATTAAGAATAAATAGAAAATATTTTTGAATATTATGAATTATTCCGATTAAAATCAAAAAATTAATATTTTAAAAAGTTAAAAGAATTAGCGAAGAAATAAAAAAAAAATATGTAAACAATAAAAATCAAGTAAGAAAACAAATTAAATGAAAAAAAAGAAATTGAAAAAATAACGAAATAGAAAGTAAAGGAAATATTAAGTAAAAGAAATTAAATTAATTAAAAATCTAAAGAAAGTATTATGAAAAAATCAAAAACTATAAAAACATAAATATTATTTACGAAAAATATGAAAAGAATACATACAAAAAAGCTAATAAAAATAAAATATATAAAAAAATATGAATAGGTAAATTAAAAAGAGTTGAACGAAATTTAAAATAAAAAGTTTTAAAAACAAATAAAATTTGAAAAATAAAAAATCTTAAAAACGAAAAAGTTTAAAAAAAAGCAAAGCTCTTCTAAAAATATACTAAGTAATACAGGGATTAAACAAATACGGCGAACTTATTTCTATCACTGGGCAATCGTACTATCTAAAAGTACAGAAAAGCGTATGAACGAGCGATCATCCTATCAATACGCGTCAATTGCTTAGCACTAGCGTACTGTTGTTCCTCCTCCTATCAACCAACCAGACAACGGAATGACAACTATATTATACGCAGTTAATGGAAAATGGCGCGTCAAACAATTGTGCCGAATTGAGTTTGTTTTTGACAGCAGCTGCTCATCACGCGCTCACAAAAGATATATTTTTATTTATAAAATATTGTTTTCGGTTTAGTTTATGTACATTAAATGGGTAATTGACAATAAAACTTGGAGCTTAGTCATAAATAATTAATAATTTTTTTATGCTTCCTAATTTCTTTTCCTAATGACTTTTAATATTTTTTTTTTTTTTGCAACAATCCTAATAATGTATACTTTCGTTAGCGCACAATTTTCGCCTATTTTTCACGTAATTAAGTTCATCTAGGCGTCAAGCAATAGCAGCTTGTCTATTTCATGTTATTATAGACATTTTATACGGGTGTTTGATTATATTTATTAAAGGATTTGGCAAAAAATAAAAAATAAAATAAAAAATAAATGAATAAAATTCTCAAGAAATTAATTTAAAATAATTAAATTGAATAATGTTGGTGTGTTAGTTTAGTACAAGAGCAGTTAATGAGTCGGAACCTTTTTGAATAAAATGTATTTTTATTACTCAACGTAATCTAATTTTAGCTCAATATATCTATTTGGTTCGACCAACTCCCTATCACCAAACAACGGCGAAAACAGGTTTATCCACCAGCATGTAATGGACTATATTTTGAAATACGTTAAGCTCATCTTTTTGTTAGCATTAGCCATGATAGCCGCGTTATTAGAGGCTCTCGCTGTTAAGCGTGAGGTTCGTATCACACTACAGCCGAATTTATTTTTATTTCTGCGCATTACGAATTCAACTTGCATAAATGAACTAGTATTTTACTGGTATGAAGCTGATGCAAAGTAGGGCTATTGACATTTCGTAAGACATTACCCACTAAGATTTCCTCGTAACCATTGAAATGGATCATACAGATCGCCAAAATCAAAAATAAGTCACAGCCTTCTCAAACTGCCCTCGTATTTAAATTGGTCATAAATTACAATTACTATGGGAAGGGTAACGGTTACTTTCTTAATTTGCGTGTTATTTTCATTAAAAAAAATTTTAATTTTGTTTAAATTGCTTTCTATTGAATTTTATTAGTTCGCCAGTCAAGTAAAGTAGTGTGCAATAATTTTATTCGCAAAACTATTTATCTTAAGCAAATATTGTGTTGAGGCAAATTTTGTTCGTGCTCCAATTGTTTTTTATTGATCACGAGCTATTATGCTGAAGTGCAATAATTTCCTTTATAAATTTAATAAATAAAAAGGAAATAAAGATCTATTAGAAATTAAGTTTACTGTACTGGGCTGTAATGTAGATTCAAAAATATAATTGTAAATCAAATTACATGCAGGTTTATTTAAAATTCTTTTTTTTCATGAGAATCTTTTTCTATTATATAACTATTATTGAAGATTTTTCATTATATGTGGAACGTAGAGTTCATTTAAATGACCGTGGAAGTTAGTAAGCCTCGATCTGTTCAAGTTAATTTTCGACTACTTTGTGGCCCATATTGGGCGGTATCTCAGTCATAGCCTGACCCATGATGGTTTTTAGGTGCTCACGATATCGGTGGCCAATCGACATCGCCAAGACGAGAGACTACGCGGCTAGAAAGTTTCTCTCGCAATAAAGCAATTTTCGCAAAACCAAATATTTTTCACGTCGTGCTCTTCAGTTGCCGCACAAAAAATCGGTTATCATTCGACTACAATGCTCCGAATCGACAGTGACGTTCCAATCACACCTTTGGACTAAAGAGCGCAACAATAGCAATAGCAAGTGCAGTAGCCTCTCTACAATTATTTCCGGATTCTTGGAGTCTTCAGTGCGACAATTTTGCCCATTTACGTATCACTCCGAGTAAGAAACTTACCACTGCTTGTTGTTCATGCACCCAAACATATGTACTTACGGCGTTGTAAATGTCTGGCTGGCTTCAGCTGTTGTGTCAACTGAACCTTATATGGATGTAGGTGTAAGTCCAAATGCAAAATACTCCATAATGTGCCGTAAGAAAGTCTCAACTCTTGAGAATTTCAGTGGCGATGTTTGAGGGGGAACGAGCGAAACGATGATGAGAAGCCTTACAATATCTGTAACCGATCCAGTCTCTTCAAATTTCTATAAAATTTTATCAATTGCTTGAGTAGTTTGACGAGCATATGCAAACAACATGTTTAGTTTCACAGTTAAGTTTTACAAATGTCAAAAAACAGGCCTGTACTTTTAAAATCACGAAATGGATAAATCTCTACAATCTAATCCATTCGTACGATTGTAATTTGTTGGGGCGTATGAGTAACTTGATTGAAACTAAAAGTTTAAGCAGCCTTACTCACTATATCATGTGTTGCTGATACTCTTACTACGAGCAATATTATTTCCATTGAAAACTGACATTTCAAGCAATACTCTTCGTGAATACGAGTTTTTGAATATGAAAAGTTATTTAAATTTGAAAATGAATCGAAAGACACCAGACAGATGTTAACTAAGCACAGCGATATCCTACGAAATGTGAATTGTCCGACTTTGCATCAGCTATATACTAGTTCCTTACTAGCTCATTTATTCATTTAAATTCCTATTTTGGAGTAATAAAAGTAAAAAAATTGGTAACTTGATTTTAACTATTAAAACCCATGCCTAGCAGCGACAATAAATAAGACTATTTCCCACATTTGCCTAAAACAGCAAATTTTTATTTAAATAAATATAGAAATTGCATGTTGTTGGAAGCGTTAGAGGTGACACAAGGCACGAGTGACCAAATCAACTTAACATTTGTGCAACTTATTTAGTATTGCTTAGTTTTAGCCTTTTACCTTCTTATACATATGTATGTATGTATATATAAGTTCTTTACTGTACGCCACTATTCGTGAAATCAGTATATTTAAAGTGGCAACAAAGGCGTAAATTATAGCATCTGACACTTAACATACATACATACTAAGTCATTAGGCATGCAAATGTTTCATTTCAGTGATCGGCGATTTTCACATATTTCAATATCTGTCATTTCGCTAAAAATATTCTCGTTTGGCGTAGAAAATTTATTATGCACTATTTAAGGATGAATATAATTTTTGCGATAAATACTAAATGCCTCTAATTGTTGAATATTTATTAAGTTTTTTTTTTTTTTTTTTTGGTTTGCTGCCTCAATAGACGCTTCAACTGTATTTTACATAGAATAATGAATAGGTTTGTTGGATTTAAGTAAAATCTTAAATGGATTTATTGTGCATTTAAACTTACAAGTACATATGTAACTACACACAATACTTATATTATAAAAAAATTTGGATAAATATTACATTAAATGGCGCGGAAATGTGATTGACATTTTGCTCTAAAATAATAAGTTATTATTTTTTTTTTTTTTTTTGAATTTGTTAATTTGTTTTATAAGGCAACAAAAAGTTTAGTTGCGCCTTTGATTTTTATTATTAATTATAATTTTGAGAATTAAAATAATTATCTCAGGACATTTAATTTAAATTTGTGGATAGAAAAGTTTGCTAAGAGTTTACTTGGGAATCAGTTTAAGTATCGCCCAGCGTGTAATATAGGCAACTAATTTAAATTATTATTATTTTTTTATTTAATCTGAACAATTCATTTTACTATTTCGGATATGTCATGCCTTAAATATGTATACCTTTCATGTGCATGAACTGGTATATTAACTTTGGTCTGAAGTATGTATACGAAGGATAAGATATCGAACCTATCGAAATGACGAGTTAGCCTGTCCGTCTGTCTGTAAGAAAACTAGGCCCTCAGGTTCTGAAATGTTTCAATCAAATTTGGTATGTTAGGCTCGTTTTCACAATGTCCGCATAACTTAACCTTTAACCGGAGGATGGCTAACCGGCAGATATGCTGTTGTGACACGATCTTTTTCACCAACTTTTGGTTACTCAATTTCTGAAATTCTGGTTAGTTTGATCATTGCGAATATTTTAAGGTAAATTCACCAAAGTTTGCTTTGTGAATACATTTATTCCATTGAAAATTCTCCATAAATTGCATTGATTTAATTTTACATTGTACCGCATTATTGACTTACAATAAATTTTACATTTTTTTTTTACAGGTAAAAGAGTTTGCAAAATCTCTAAAGAAACGCAAAAAGGACCAGAGTTGGTACCACTTGAGAGCGTGTTGTCCAGCTGGGAGACAGTCTGACAGGAGATAGCGTGGAACGCCAGAGAGAGCGAGTGAGAGAGGGAGAGAGAGTAAACAAACGAGATACTGTTTGAAAAAAAAAATATAATAATTTTTTTAAACAGATTTTGAACAGCTTAACTGCTTTCTCTAATTGGAACCCAAAGAAGGTGTTGCTGAAGCAGTGGAATAGAAGAGAACAGCGCGCATATCAGAAGAATTGCTACATAGTTTTGGTTTTTAGCTAAAAATAAAAAAACAAAAACGTAAACGCAACGAAAAGCAAAAATAAAAATAAAAATAAAAGTAAAAATTAAAACAACAAAGCCTAAATAACAGCACATTTAATCGAAAATAAATTTTCGTAAATAAAAAAATCGTTGGAAATTTTAAAACGAGGAATTAAACAAAAGCAAACATCAACAGGGATACAAGCAAAGCAAAGCGAAGCAGTAAAGCAAACAGGTTTTGTGCAAGCAAATAAAAATACAACACAAACAAAAAATACTATTTAAAAAAAATAATAATAATAATAAAAAACCAATCAAATTTTCTTAAAACTTTTTGGCGATAATTTTTAAACAAAAAATAACAAGAAAAATTCTTAAATATTTCAAAGGCCAAAAACCTAACCTAAAATAAATCTTTGTACTTAATTTTGAAAAATTTTGCGCTAATTACAAAACAATTTCCGTATAATATAAGCTTCAATTTGCACATAAAGTACTTAAATTAAATTTATACAGAAAATATTTACATAACAAAGAAAAAAAGAAAAATAATTAATTAGCATATAAATTGCTGCTGAAAGTGTTATTAACACATTATCTTCCCGTGTTTGAAAGCAAGCAAACACATACACTCACACTCTCCCACACACCCATTCACACAAGTCCAATAAGGTGACTAAAAACATATTTTCTCGCACTATAAAATTTAAAATATTTTATTAAACTCAACAAACAACTTAAGCTATAAAAACACAAACAAGGAAAACAACAAAACACCTCAGCGTTTTAAAAGCAAAAGACAGTCGACGTAGAAGAGCAGTGCGGAGCGAAGCTTAATCACTTAACTATACACTTGAGTACCAAAAAAAAATCTCAATTCTCCAGTGCGTAACTCTGCAATTGTCACTAGAAAAGCGCACGCAAACTAGCTCATACACACAAGCAAGCACATACACATATATATCTATATATATATATACATATATCTTTAATTTGGGGTACGAAGTCGTAAATTAATGAGCAACATGCGTCAAAAAGATTTACGCCCAGCACCTGCTCTTATTGAGTTTAAGGGCATGAAGTTCCTAATCACCGATCGGCCATCAGATGTAACCATCCATCATTATATAACGGTTAGTTGCAAATTTTTTCCCTTCATTTCTGCATACAAAATTTCGTATTGATTTTTATTGATTTTCTCCACATTTTCTAGGAGCTCAAGAAGAATAACGTCAGCACGGTTGTGCGCGTTTGCGAGCCCAGTTATAATACCGATGAGCTAGAGGCTCAAGGCATCACAGTTAAGGATTTAGCTTTCGAGGATGGCACTTTTCCGCCACCGCAAGTGGTTGATGAATGGTTCGAGATTTTGAAGCAAAAGTGAGTTTTTGGAAATTATTACAATTTTTCTTTCGTACATATAAATATTTAATTCAGTTTTATTTGTTAAATATTTTTTCTGTTTGTCATTTGTTTTGCTTGCCTGCAAGTGGTTGAAAATATCTACTGTTCATTGTGCAATAATAATGATAATAATAATAATAATTGCTTAATGCAGCGCAAATCATTTGCACGAAAAGGCAAATTCTCATCGCAAATTCATCTTGGAAATAGTTTTTTTCGCTTGTCATTTGTGTCAGTCCAATTTGTCAGATGTATTGAAACTTGTCAACGCAGAAAGAAGTTTTTTTCATTTTTTTTTTTTTCAATATGTTTTTATCGGTGCTTCCATTATAGGCTAACGCATGATACAATAATTTAAAGGTAGTCTCGTTCTCTCTTCGCAGTCAGCTTCATAGATATCTGTCATTAGACGTGTCTCGGTTTTTCGTAATACCCTCCTCTCTTAAAAAAAAAATCTCTCATTTTGAAATAAAAAAATATGTGGAGAGTTTTCATATTTTTTAAATGTTCAAACGTTCAAAAATCACGTACTATATTGTATTTTACAAAAACAACTTTGGTAAATTGTAAGAAAATATCATAAAGGGAAGAGATTCCCACAAAAAATTTGAATCGAATGGAAAAAGATGAGCAGCTGGCTGGATTTGCTATATCAACGTTTGAATTCAAATCAGTCAACATAGTTTTATAGATGTTTCAAGGAAATTTTTTAAGCAAATAGGATATTGTTTTAATAATTGTTGGTTTTATAGAGGGAGCTGTGCAAATTCATTATAGAAATCCTTTAATTAAGCTAAAACTAGTTTCGTTCGATTGAACATTCCAAGCAATTTTTAATTCAAACTAACCGCCATATAATATATTGATATTAGTCAGTAAGTTAGTTAAACACCACGGAACCCTGATCTCTTTATATTACCCATGTTGGTTCTACGAAGAAGAGTCCTCTCACTTTTCTATATGCACAAATCAGTTGGTGTATTTTACGATGTTCGGGAGATTAATGATTCTCATAGATGTAAGCTCTTTTAGGCAATCGCAGAAGAAATTTCCGAAAAATCGATAACGGACCGCAGAGTTTACCGGGGCTATGACTATCCCTATCCGGTCAGTTGATCGACCATGCAGTTCCCTGAATGTCCCTATAGCCAGAGCCCCAAACCGCGAACTTTTGGCATATGCATAGTTGAAAAAAATCTAAAAGCCCAAGACTCGAAAAGAAAAATTAAAATTGACAATTCTTCCCATATTATTTATTTATCTAGCAAAATCTTTGCCGCCTATGAAAACCGACTTGAAACAAATATTTTAATTCATAGCATCTGCTTAGAAAATAACCCCATAATAATTTAAAAAATCTCCAAGTTGAAAGTTGTTTAAGTGGCAAAATCAAAAATTTCTGAGCAAACACGTTTAGTGTCAAAAATTTCGAAAAAAAATACTTTATCAATTATTTCAAAATTTTACATGTTTCAAGAACATACAGTAAAATTTTTGAAGAAAAAAATTAAATATTTTTTAAGTTATAATCGATCTCCTTGGATGAAATCTAAAAAAAAAAATTCTCTACTAGATAATATTGCCTGTACAATGATCTACGACAAAAAAAAACCAAAAATTGACAATTGACAATTGACGAATTTTAACCAAAATTTTGGTCGTTTGGCCTGCCAAAACTCGATTTCTTGATCAGATCAAAAATCGATAGGTAATTGTACGGAGAACTATATATAGAAAATGTAAAAAAAAATTCGATAGTAATCGGATCATTTGTTTATGAGTAATCACTGCAGCAAATTCGGAAAATGCTGTTTCGAGAAAAATGCGTTTAAAGATAAAGTGATCGTTTTCACTCGTAGCTAATGAGACTCTCTAACTTTTTTATTTGAAAGCGAAGAAAATTATTACGGCAAACGAAATTTTCAAACAAAAATAAGCTATATTTAAGCTTCAACAAACAATTTTTAGTGTATAAAAAAATGTTGGAGTTTCCAAATATTGAGATGAGTTTTCTAAAGCGGCTGCAGGCTGAACTTGTGAAACGGTGCTGGAATTGATGGATGTCGTGCAGTCGAACCGTTTAGTTTTTAATTATAATTTTTATGAGTTTTTATGATTATACGAACTAAAAAAATACCGCAGATGTTGAAAAACTCAAAATTTTTTCGAAGTTTGAAATAAAATGTACTTCAACAAGAAAATTAAATTCAAGTTGCAAAAAAATTAGTTCAAATAATACGTTTTCGAGCTTTTTGAGTTCAAAAAAAAAGCTAGGTCCTTTTGACTTTTTTCAATCGTACATATGTATGTATATTCTTTTTGCTTTCAACGACACGGTTTTTTAAGCCCTGTAAAAATGAAAATTTGGGAAACGCGCTTCAAAGTTTTGCACGAACACTCGAACCTGCTTGACGCTCGACAACTAAAACAGCTTTAACTTCTAAAATATTTCGAATTGGCCACTGAAAATGACTCAAACCATTTTTCATAAAACATTCTATCTAAATAATATCAGCACTTCTTGTGTAAGTTAATCATTTATGTGTGTACAATACAAAATGTAGTGCTCTTAGCTCAACTTTCACGGGAAAAATTAGATTTTAAGCGCCTCTTACGACAAACATGCCTTAAATTAATGCTACCTGTTGACCTAAACCCCGCCGGGTTAGGTCGCCAAAACGGTGACAGCATGAAGCACACCATCCAGGACGGCGTACAGACAGGCACTGAACGCCATTCACCAGGAGTCAGTCAACGCCTTCAGAGACTCCCTTCCCGTGAATGGCATGCTATTGCTCGAGCTGACTCGAGAGACCAGCGTGACATTGGCACATTGGCACTTAGCTCTAGATATTGCAGCAGGTTAAACTCCTACCAATCTAAACTCGAACTCGAGCCGCTACCACAACAACAAACATGCCTTACCACTTGAAAATTCTTATACCCCCAAACCGTTGTTGGTGAAGTGAACATGTGGCATAAACGCCTTTCTCCAATGTTCCATAATCGCCTTGATATGTAGTTTTGGTCAGTTGTAGCGACAGTAGGTTGCGGCCTGTCATCTGTGTGGACAGATGTAGTCTTTAGATTTCTTGCCAATAACTTTTCGTATGCGATATTTTAGGCAGCGATCCACTGCACTGAATCAGCAAGCCATATACAACGATTAAACTCTTGTTCTTATATGCTTAAAATGTACTTTTGGCACTTCTTCGCCTTGAACTTTTACACCGGAAAGCTCTCATATAGGAATATTCTAACTTCGTGTGAAGTATATCATGTCAGATATACCTCAAAGTTGACTAGGACATCCGATCGGCACATGGTTAGAGTCAGCTTTTATGACTTTATCTTGCTTAAATTGGAAAACGGCAACCTTAATGTTAGCGACCTTCAGTTCCAACCAGACGGCGCTACATTCTAGACATGAGGTTTAACGAAACAATCAATTTTTTTTTTCAGAGAAACTTTGCTAGCACATTATCACGCCTCGTGAGCTTCTGGTGTAGCTCCAGAGATCGTGCGATTTCACAACCGATGGATTATTTTTTGTGGGATTTCATCAATTCGCTCGTCTACTCAGATAACGCCAAGACGATTGATGCCCTCAAAGATAATATTAAACGACTTGTTCCTACAGCAAAAAAGTGGTTTAAAATTCTACCTCACGGCTGGAATTTATTCGAGCCAACTTCTGCCGTCATTTGATATTCTTTTTCAAAACCATGTGTTAAAAAACACACACATACACATACACGCTTCACATTTAGATGTCACTAACCCCAAGTCATTACAAAAAAAGTCCTAACACAGCTACATTATATGCATGAAATAATTTACAATATTTAATCGCTTAATTCCTATATTTGTTAATTTAATAAAAAAAAACAATAAAAAAAATTGTAAATCATGAAAAAAATATATATAACGGCATGTTGTCTAGTATTTTTTTTTAATACGTTTTACTCGCTTTAACTGATGTATTCGCATTTTTAAAAAAGAAAAATTCTATACAATTTTTTAAATATATTCACATATAAAGTTATTAACTAATATGTTGCTTTTGTAATTTCGAATTAAAAAAAATTAAAATAAATAAATTAATGAAAAATTAGTTTGTTGCTTGTCCGCATCTAACATATGGTACTATAAGATTATTCATTTTGTGGTTTCAAAAGTACAGGGCTGTATTTTGACATCTGTCAAACTTAACTGTCAAACCAAAAATGTGTTGTTTTTGTTAAAATTTATGCGTTTATGAAAATATATCGCTTAACAAGCGCATAAAGCATTTAAATTGCTGAAACCTGCAACAAAAAAAGTGATTCAAATGTGGCCACCTTTCGGTCTTAAAGAGGAGATTATAATGCATATAATCATCAAACCACTCAAGCAATTCGTAAAATTTTAAAGATATTTTAAGCGACCGTATCGGTTATAGGCACTGTAAGGCCAGTGAATCATAGTCTTGCTCGTTCCACCTTAACGCTACTGTAAGTGAATGTGTAGCCGCAAAGACCCGAAAGTGTCGATTTTTCGATGTTCTCACGGCACATTATAGCGTTTTTTGCATAGGAAATTCCCATAATCCTACATCCATACAAAGTCCAGATCACGCAACTACTGAAGCCAGGAACACGCCATACGGGGAGTGATCAGAAAATAACCGTTATTATGAATTTTGTGTGAGCTGGTGCCTTATCATGGTGCAAAATTCGTGCTTTTTTTCCGCAATTCTGGGTGCTTAACTTTTATATAGTATTCCTTATAGACCATACGACCTTGTCGCAAGAATTCATAATGTACCACGCCGTTCTATTCGAAGAAAAGAGTGAGTAAAACCTTCATATTTGACCGAACTCGGCGTGCTCGGGCGTGTACTAGCATTGTAATTGACAGCTTCTTGGCTTTCCTTAAACCGGTCATACCACAAAATAAACTTGGGCTCTGCTCATAGTAGACTCGCCAAACGCCACAGTCAACATTTACAATGCCCTTGCTATGTTAAATTTTCGAAATTCGGTCGGCCTTTGGCAGGGAATGTCAACCCCTCCGAGTATATTTCTGACATGATAATCAAAAGCTTCTCATAAAAAAACCCATCAGCCGTTCGGAAGAATAGGTCCCTCCATTTGATGTGGAGCTCGGTCGAAAAACCGCTTCAGCGGTTACAAAATCGAAACTCGAACTTAAGTAACTCACGAAATTTGAAAATAACGAATATTTTCTAATCACACCTCGTACATACGTCCACTGGGTGCTGGAACAACACCAGTAGTGGACGACGATTTTTCAAACAAAAATTTCTTTAGCTACGAGTTGCATTTTACACTGGATATGTGATACGTAAATGAACAGAATTGTCGCACTGAACACTTCAAGAATCCTGAAATAATTGAAGAGAAGCCTTTACACTCAAAAAAAACTTATTGTCTTTAGAACTCTTTGGTCCGAAGGTATGAATGGACATTACTTCTTTGAAAACGAAAACGGCGGGACTGCCACTGTCAATTCGGAGCGTTATGTACAATATGTTGATTCAAAACGAGCGGATATGGCTTTATTGTGTGGGAAATTTCGCTGCCGCGTAATCTCTCGTCTTTGCGAAGAGTATTTACCACAGAGTTCGTGGCATCTGACATTGTTGTACCATATTTGTATAAGTGAAATTTTACCTTTTGAGCACTTGAAAAGCAACCTTCCTGATGTTATGGCTGTGATTGCACCCAATATACTGCAAAAGGTGATCGAAAATCAACGCAAACCGAACGAGGTTTGCAAAAATACACGAGATGATCATTTGAATGATGTAGTGTAGCCCATATAATGTTCGAACTTCATAATTGAAGGGGAGTTGCATGAAAAAAAATTAATTTAAATGCATTTGGTTGACGTTTAATTTCAAAATCACAAAATGAATAACCCTTTACTACCTTTTGTTTTTATTTTATTTATTTTTTTTCCAAGCAAGTACTCCCTTTCGTGTCTCCCAATTTTTCGCTACGCTTAATTTAAACTCTTTTTAAAAACTTGCTGCCTTTGAGCGATATTAGCGTAAATATGTATGTACGTACTTCTTACTAATTCCAACTATCTTTGGTGACTTCATCCAACACCATTACTGTTTTGTCATTTCTAATTCTCTAACAAAGAATAAAAAAATACTAAGTCGTTACAATTTTGTTGATTCTGGTTTTTATTCTTCTTCTTTTTCCGCTGTTTTCCGGTTTCTTTTTTTTTAATACTCAAAAATTACAAATAAAAACGCATGAACCGTTAAAATAAACACTATTTTGAAATAATAAAATGAAAATTTGAATTAAAATTAAAATTAAAAAAAAAAATAAATAAACACTTGCCAACAACAATGACAACAACAACAATACCATATATATGGTTTAGATTTAGCAATAACAACACCGTTACTCACTCTTCAAGTACGCCGTCGACGCTTAGAAATGCATCGGTTTCATTTTATAAAAATAAAAGATTTTCCTTTAAACAAAAACATAATCGAAATGATTATGAGAATTTAGATAATTATAATGCAATGAACAACAACAGCGCCAATGACGGCGACAATGATAATGAAACATCGACAGCCGATGCAAATGCCAATGCTATGCGTAGTCATGATGAATGCGATAATAATGAACATGAAAATGCCACTTGTAGGTAAGGTGCTTTTGAAAACCATGCAAATATACATACACACACATACATACATGCATACATACATATGAGGCTTGGTAAAAAGTAATCCATTATTTAAATTAAATGTTCTATTTACCGTAATTAGAATTATCCGATTCATGTCAAATGTTCACAGTTTTGCGCAATAACAATGCCTCTGTCATAGAAATTCTTAACTGTACAGGGAAAAAATTGAAACAACCGATTTTCACAGGCTTCTCTTGGGGTCAATACTTCAGCAGCCAATTCATTCGCCATAGACAGGAAAAGCTGGTAATTAGTTGGTGTGAGGTCCGGACTATCAAACAGATGCATAGGCACCTACCAGCCGAACTCTCTCAGAGCTTCTGTCGAGTCACTATCGATGTATAGTCTGGCGTTGTCCTGATTAAACACAATACGCCTCCTGCTGTCAAAGCTGGACATTTGCTGACTTGAGATGTTTCAATTACTGGCAGTAAAGGTCCGAAAGGTCTCCCTCAGCTTCAGAAATGGATAGGTTTTGTTACGATTCACATATTTGGCATCCAGCATCATCCATCGAACTTCTCTTTGTATCCAGCCGTTTTCACTGTTTCTAAAAAAAAGTGCTCGCATGACTGTTAAACTCCATAATTTCCATTATATCATCGTCATTTTCGACCCTTGGCCATCTATTGAAATACATCAAAGTCACTCGCACGAAATCGACGTAACCAAAATTGTATCTGCTGGGCTGTTACAGTATCAGGACGATAAACACTTTTTTGACTTGCGTTTTCGCTTTTGTCGAAAAAAAAAAAATTGTCGAATGTAGCGTATTTTCTATTTCCTCTGGTGTCCGTCTTTGACATATGCTCAAAGACTACTGAGTTAAGGGGTAAAGCCACTCTCACAGGGTACCTTCGGGTACTAGAAATAGTTTGCAATTGGTTTTATCTGAAATCTTGATGGTAGCTTCACAAATATATATATTTTTTGGAATTGCGTAACCGTTTTTCGATTAAATATTAAATTTTTTTGTGTTTTCAGTTTTATGGAACTGTCTCAGGGCATATATTTTTGGGAAATAGTGAAAAAAATTTATTGCTATTTCGATGACTACCACGTTGCTTCGTCAGACTTCTTTTTTCCAGACACTTTTGTTCGAATTGGATTCGAACATGGGATGCTACATGTGTGCTGTCGCTTTTACTTATTTTTTTTTATAATTTTCTGCGGTTTTTTTTTTAGTCAAAAATCAGTCTTTTAAAAAAATAAAAGTGTGCCGTTTTCACAAAATTTAGTTAAAAAAAATCCGTACGTACTTCCAAAAAGCATAGTTCGTAGATCACAAAACTGTTTGCTCTTCTGTTCTAGGTCACATGCTTGAAAAGAAATCGGTCCTTCCGTAGAGGCTTTTCAAAAAAACATGGTTTAAGTAATGGACTTTATCACCGCCATTTTGTAACAAAATAATAATGAAAGAACAATTTTTATACTTCAATGGTTGAATAGAAATTCTATTCTTTTTCCCACATTCCTACGAAAAAAATTTAAAAAAACTAGTCTATTTTTCAACCCCTAGAATGGCTATAGCCCTCAAGGGGTCTTTAAACTTCAAACAATTAATTTTTTTTAATAATTTTTTGTATAAAAGTACAAATTGTCAGGAATATTTTACCCAAGTTTCAAGTCGATCGAGATGAAACTGTAGAAATTATAGAGCTTTATTTCGAACTCAAATTCTCCACACTTCTTTGAAGCATGTTCTGGTAGTCCCTGACCTAGACAGACAGAATTTCAACTCATTTTACAAGCCAATATGTGACCTAATTTTATGCAAAAAAAAATTCGTTTTTTGTAAAAAACGCTAGAAAAAATTCAACTTTTAATTTTTTTAATTTTTTTTTAGTGCAGGGACAAGGAAAATTCACCTACTTCAATAAAAAAAAATCGGATTTCTGATTTCATATAAAAATTGAAAAAGTTATCATGACAACCGTGAAAGCACTTTCTTGTGGACGGTCTACTTCACGACACTGCCAACGCCTTCACTTGTGCTATATTTCATTCAAATTTTCATCAAGTGTTTTTTTTTGGGCTTCAAGACCTATGGAACCCCTTAAGTGATGAACACTGCTCACATTATCTTCTTTAGTACAAACTATCATCTTTCCAACGCCATCTGGCATAAACCAATCGCACTTATAGAACGCAAGATACAGATCACTAAAGCCATCTAATGCAAAATATAATGGAATACTTTTTACTAGATCCATAGAAAAAGTACATAAATTAATATTCATACATTTACATACATACATACATACATACATAGATGCATACATACATACATGGATACACACATATACATAAGCATAAGTAAATTTGCACTGAATTTATAGCGGTAATTAAATTTATAAGCATACATACATACGCCGCCACGTTGCGCTTTGAGCACCAAGCAAAGACAAAAAAAAAATTGATATTGAAAAATGTTTGAAGTTCAAAACAATTTGTTTTTGAGTTGATTATTGAAAATTTCTTTGAATTGTATGATACGGTTTGAAAAGAAAATAATCTGTTGAACTTTTTAAATTGATAATTTTTCCCCACTTTTTTAGTTCGCACTTTGAATTCATTTCCCGCTTTTCTCTCTCTCTCTCCCCACCCACAGGTATCAACAAAATCCAGAAGCTTGCGTTGCTGTACATTGCGTTGCCGGTTTGGGACGCGCACCAGTTTTGGTTGCATTGGCGCTGATTGAGTTGGGACTAAAGTATGAGGCAGCTGTGGAGATGATAAGGGAGTAAGTTTAAATGCAATGAATTATAAAAAAAGAGAAAAAAATTGGATAAAAATATTTATTTAAAACCGAACTTTAGTGCACCGCCTGGTTAGACCGGAAGTTAAGTCCCCCTGCGGTTTAGGGACTAGAGAATTTACCCATAGTAAGGCATGCCTGTCATAAGAGGCGACTAAAATCCAATAGTTGCCTCAAGGGTCGGGTCTTCATACCGAAACGACTCAGATTTTTATTCGGCTAAGAATTGTCACTCCCGCAATATTCCCCGAAAGTCAATTTGGGTAATATTTCGCGGTTACAACAATAACAACACCAGAAGGTCTAACCTGATGCTATCCCAACAGACACTCACTAGAAACCGATCCACCACCCGCTGTATAGAACGGTTCATCGACAGGCATTAAACGCCATTCATCGAGAGCACTTCAACACCTTCCTGAACTCTCCGCCAGTGAATGGCGTTCTCGGAGCCAAACAATCACTTATTGCACACGAACTGCCTTGAGAGTCCCCCGTAAGGCACGGATATTGCAGTAGAGCAAGCTCCTACCTATTCAGACTTGTACCCGACATACCCTGCATCCAACGAGTCCCCGCACGACACTAATCAACTCATTGCATCACCCTAACCAACTCATCTTAGCACTATATCCCTCTGGTCCGAACCCATTAGATAAGCTCGTTGACTTAGATTGATTTATTCTGTTCCTGAGTGGGCTTAGCGAACTGCTGCAACAACAACCAGATGATAAGGGGTCCAATCTTTTGCCAGTGGCAAGGCTTGCCTGTCGTAATTGAGGACTGAAATTTAAGAAGTCCTCCAACTTTGGGTTTTTATAGCGATACGACACCGATTTAAATCCGGCCAAGAACTATTGTTCACACAACATTCCGGAAAAATCATTTTGCTGAATATTTTACGGTTAAACAAGCAACAACAATGAAAAAATCGTAGTGAATATTATCATGATTTGACCATCGACCGAAGTATTCCCAATATATATCCCAAAACCGGCAGCGCTAACTCTCTCGGCAGCCGGTTCGGTCAAGTGCGTCACCCTTTCGGCGACCTCACCATTTTTAGACCATCAGGTAATTCTCGTTTAAATACAACAAAGGAGCAACATCATGAAGCAGAGTTAACAACACCCCGCAACGGTGTTGCTTCAAATCTTACTCATCAGGAGTGACGGTCCGACGGATTATTTCTGCTGCGTGTGCTATAGTAATTTCGTAATTTTACCATTCATGATACGCATGCAGTGCAATGACTGTATTTGTCTTAAGCCCTGTCCAGGCTTAAAAAACATAGAAATTGGATCGTGTAGTATCTGGGCCCACCCAGGTGCGGTCCAAATCTTCACGACTATGCAATCCTCTCTGCAACCGTACTCACATAGGGTAACCAGCCTTATACCTCCACGGTCCAACAGAGGTCTCCGCAGCACTGGTGGGAGCGGGAGTTTCGAGATATACAAATTAAACAATAGTGGGGGGAAGACATCTTCCACGGAACTCCTTGTTTCATTTTTCGAACCTTGAAATTTTCACCATAAAACTCTATCAATGGTAATTGATGGTTCATGTCTTCTGCAACGGCGGTAAAGAGGATCCCTGAATGTCCAATAGTAGAACTGAATGATTGACGGTATCAAACGCTTTTGACAGATCCAGAGTTTAGAGAATAGTTCGCACGTCGTTGATTTTGGTTTCGTTTTGTGCACTTTGCGGAAGCCATGTACTGATGTGCTATTCTACTAGGTGGTGGATAAAGGACGAGCAGTAACCCCTCAACTCCGACATGGTTCGCCTCCGTAGGCAGTAGTTTACCCGGCTTAATAGCAGCATCACTTCATTCTGCACCCACATGCACATGTACTGCTGCAATCGGATTGAGTTCATTGGGGAAGACTTCAGCGTCCGCTGAACACAGTTTTTTTTTAGGTTTCGAGGCTTTTGCTTTTTTTTTGTGTCTTGAAGCCCAAACTTCTTGCCTCATTTATAGAGGAAGTATCTCACTTAGTTCCTTTCTAATTTTTTTTTTGTTTTGTTTTTATTTCCTTCCAGCAAACGACGAGGCGCCATCAATGCCAAACAATTGTCATTCTTGGAACGGTATAAGCCCAAGGCAAGGCTAAAGCACAAAAATGGCCACAAGAATTCATGTTGCGTGCAATAGATTTTCCAAAACCATATAAATTCCCACCAGATGAAAAGTGTTCATTTTTAAAGAAGAAACAAAATAAAACAAAAATAACAACAACAACAACTACAACAGCAGCAGCAGCAAGAAGCAGTTAAATGTAAAGAAACCAAGAAATTGTGAAATATATTTCATAGATAATGCAAACAACTACAACAACTAAAAGCAAAGCAAGAAAGCAACAACAACAGCGACACATCAATTTCAGCAACGCAATAAAACAACAATAGCAACATAACCAAGCAGCAATATAAATTATCTACATATATATATATATATATATCTATATCTATATGTATGTAAATCATTTAAATGACCGTATGGAGCATGAGCGGGACCAGGCGCAGGAAAAGAAAAAGTGGCAATTAAGCGAGAGAACAACATGCCAACCAAATACAGCAACAGCACATGGGAAATTCAAAAAAAAAAAAAAAAAAAGCAACAACAACACATTACGGCTTTATGCAATTTTCTTGTTCACGCGGCTGACTTTTGAATGCTATCAGCAACAACAACAACAACAACAGCGCAAATACAATCAATCAATTATCTAACTACATATATACCAATATATGTATGTATGTATATACGAGTGCATAATTTTGCATATCCAATCGTGAAATTAGCAAGCATTGAGAGTGTAAATACTACCAGCAACGAGCACGAAGCAGGCAAAAATTTTTACAAAAAGTGCAACATTCGCCAAAACCTACTTTGTGGTATATTTTTGCGGTTACAACAACAACATAAACAACTCTTCTCGATCTTCTGCCCGCCACTATGTGCTCATATACTACTTCTCATCTACTTACTGTGCAGTTGCTTTCACTATTAAACTCCTCCTGGCATGCGGCGACGCTCTGTTTCTCCATTTCCGCCCAAAACTTTAAACAAAAAAATACAAAAACTTCAACTTGGCTTCTAGCAATAGTGCCGTGTGTGGGAGTATGTGTGTTTTAGGCATTTTATTGATTATACTTCAACAGTCAGCAAACATATACACACATACATGCACTGCTTAAGCCATTTCACAATAGCAACTGTAACAATGCAAAACAACAAAAAGCAAAACCAAAAACAAAAAGCAAACACTACAACTTTTTTAAAACTGACAATGAACGCAAAATCTTCTTTTTTAACCCAAAAGTTCACTTTTTATTTGATGATAATGATGATGATAATGATAATGATAATGATAATAGCAAAAAAACAAAACAAAATAAGTAAAAATGATAATGAATTTTTAGCAAGAATGATGTTTAAAAACTAAAAAGATATTTGATTTTTTTATAATTAATTAAGAAATATAAAATTAAAATTTTTTTTTTCTAAGTGCAAGGCAACACACGGAGAGCTCTTCTAGTAAAAAAAAAAAAACACAGTATATGTAAAGACGAAAAACGAAAACAATTTAATTATTAGTTTTTAAATAATAATTAAAAATTGGAAAAAACAAAAATTAAAAATAAATGATATTTATATACTAACGCAACAAAAAAAATAATAATTTTTTTCTCGCGTAAATTTGTTTTCGTTTTCGTAAAATCGTTTTTATTTATTTTTATTTTATTTTTGTTTTTGTAGTCGCTATTTTCTTCGTTCATTTCATTTTTATATTAATATTATATATATATATAATTAATTATATGTAGTATGTACGCATGTATTTGTACTTATAATCAATTGTAAGCATTATGCATATGTGCAGCAGCAACAACAACAAAAAGAAAGAAAACATAAAATTATAAATAAATAAATAAATATGTGAAAAAAGTAAAAAAAAACAAAAACAAATTAAAATTAAAATGAAATGTAAGGAAAATCGATTATGTATGATATGATGCGCAACAATAAACAATTAGTAATCGCTAAAATTGTAAGAACACAATCAATTGATGCGAAAAATGTTCTTAAGAAATACAACAAAAATATAAAATAAAAATAAAAAATAATTGTGCTGGTTTCTTTTTATTTCAAAACTCCCTTGGGTGGAGTTATGATTTGCTAATAAAGGTTTGCTTTTTACAATTTTCTTAATCGAGAACACACTCACGAGTGACACACGGCCTAAAACTTAAGCTTCGCCCCTTCCATAATTTTGAAAAAATCGAAAAAAAATTTTTTTCTTAAAAGGTGCTTTAGGGTCTTAGAAATACCATACCAAAAGGTGGATGCCGGCAAAAATGTCTAAATGCCCAAATTTTTCATTCGACGGCAGTGACACGCAGGTGTGCCCCGAGCGACCTACAACTTTAAACGCTTTTATCGAAATCACAATTTTTTTAAATTGGCCAAAGACAACTCGAACAAATCTTCACCGATTCTTACGAATACATTCGAAATATTCTTCTCCGAAGACGTACGTAGAATTTTTTTTATATTACATAGTTTTTTTTAATCAACAATTTTATATCGTTTTTTATAATGAAAATTGTTCAAACGTGCAGCATTTCGCGAAAAAAACAAAATTTCGAAAAAATCCTACGTACGTCTCTTGCTGTTGTTATATAGAAATTATAAAAAAATTTGTTTTTTTATCCAGGACAAAAATTAAGGAGTTGACATCTTCTCCCATGGACCCATTAGAAAAAAATGCGTTTTCGGAGAAATGCTGGACAGCGGCCATTTTGAAATTGATTCACACGAAAAATTTTGTATTTGTACCATGAAACCTATAGTATTAAACCTATTTCACAGATTTTGGATTGATTCCTTTGTTGAGTCAAAATAAATTCATAAAATATGCCCCTTTTCTATGCGCTCTAGACCAGCTTCCCCCCTTAATGAAACAATGTATAGTTTTATTTTTTTTTTCATTTTCAATAAGGCTCCCTCAAGTGAAATACACTTTTCTAAGGCCACTTTCATCTCACTGTCGTATGAAAATCTTCGTCCCCGTTATTCCTTTTTTAATTTCGAAAAAAAGGGAGCCACTCGTGGCACAAGGGGCAGGTTCTGAAGACTTTAAAAGCGCTGAAATTGTTTGTTAGGATTTTTAGGAAGAACTAGCCTTAGCGTCTCAGATTAAATTGTTACCATCGGAATAAAGGGATGCATGCAGCGCTAACATTATTGGAGAATTAACAACATCGCCGTCTCGAGCGACATCTATATCCATAACATTTTCATCTCTTACAACTGTCATTGGGCGGGGGTCATCTTTCTTGCTTGTTGAAACAGCCGAGCCCAGTTTTGCACCAACGTTTATGAAGTGAGGGCTGATGAACCGATAACATCTCTGTGAAAATTTCATTCATTTCAACAAAGTTTAGTTGGATGTTCCAGGAACGGCCGCGGTAACCGAGTGGTTAGCATTGCGTACTGCTATTCGGAATGCTCGGGTTCAAACCCTCATGAAACCAACTTCCAAAATTATAGAAAATTAATTTTCATCTCTTTGGAAATAACCAGATATAGATATATAAAATTTGACCAGAAGGCACTCTAGTACTTTCTGGGCCTCATTTAAACTTCGTGGTACCCATCGAGCAGATTTCTTCTTGTATCCCAGATGATTACTCAATGTTCACAATACAACATTGGGCATTGAAGCCCAAATCATTAGCAATCATTTCTTATGTCAATCGTGGGCTTCGTCAAGTTTGAACTTTACCAGAGCTTCAGTGACGTCATCAGTGAAAGATTTTCGCCGACCTTCTCGGTACTCGTCCTTTACGGCAAAATATCTGGTCTGGAATCTTCGGAGCTTCTTCGAAAAAGTCTTTCAAGACGATGCCATCGTTCCATAAGAAATTTGGCATTCACTGAATATTTGTATTGTCCGTAAATTACGCTGTAACCCGAAGAGAATCACATGACGAATTTCCGTTTAACACCCCGTTGGTGGTGTTATTTCGTCTGACCTTTCCTCAGCTACCTTGCGTTTTCTCGTCTCCATTTTAATCGATCGTTTTAAAATTTTAAAGGAAGACTAATAAAAGCATTTGGTATTTTTAGACTTAACAGAAACAAGTTGAAAATCACCAAATGAGCGAGTTTTTGTTAATCTCCTCTCATCGTCATATTTTTCCAACAAATGAACCTGGACCAGTGAACTTATTAAACTAATTGTAAACAGTGTGAATGCCGTAGAAATTGCGACAAACTTTTTCTCGTAATTGAACCGGATATGCTTATAAAGGAATTTGATTTTCAAAGCTTTTTATAAAAAGCTCTCTTAGCAGCAAAAGCTGTGGAAGCTTTTGCTTGTTTATACACCGTTAGAAATTTCCACAAGTAATAAATTTGTTAATTTCTCAAATTAACAATGAAGAATATATCATTTAAGTTTTTTGGAAAACTTGAAATTTAAGGAAACCCCAAGTTTTAAAATCTATGTTTTCTTATTCGGAAATCCAAAATTTTTCGTAAAAATATATTTTGCAGTTGCCAATAAGTCATTTAATTACTTAATACATTCTAGGAATATTAGTGTTAGTAGTTTAATTTAATTTTTGCTTTTTTTCAGAGAGATCTATAATTTAGGTCTTCTTAAAAGTAGTCCATTATTTTTGGAATAGGTGGCTTTAGTTATCTGTATATCGCGTCCTATACTAAGTGCGATTGGATTATGCCAGATGGTTCTAGAAATATGACATTTTGTACTAAAAAATATTAAAGTAGTGCTTGGGCGCGTGTCACAGATGGACACCAGAGCAAAGAGAAAATGTGCCACATTTAACAGTATTCGTTCGATAAAGTCGAAAACGGAAGTCAGACAGCTGAAAATGGGAATAGTGTTTATGGTCTTGAACTGGTAACGGTCAATAATTCGGTCGAAAATGTCGATAAAATAATGTAAATCGTCGAGTTAGACCGTCATGTGAGCACTGTTTCGATTGCCTGGGAGCTAAACATTGTACGAAAATCCATCTGATTCGACTTGAAAAAAAAGACTGGATACACCAAGAAGCTCGATGTATGGATGTCACAGTAGTCAATGAGGAAAATCTTCACTGACCGAATTTCCATCTGCGAATCGCTGCTGTATCATAAAAAAAATCGACTCATTTCTTGAGCGGATGGTGACTAAAGATGTGAACTCGTTCACTTGCAACAATATCAAGCGAAAACGGTGGTGATCGGAGGATGGTGATTCGGCTCAAACGGTCTC